CTCTCAGGCTTGTAGAGCTCCTTCACTGTTAGAGGCACTCTGCATAAGATTCTTACTGTGATACCAGGCGCATAGCACAAATGTAGGAGAAGAGTTTAATAAATCTTTCATTGGCCTGATTTAGGGATGAAAATCCTGAATTTAGAGCATATTATTAAATTTTGATTAACCCATATTCACACATCATCAGCGGAATGTAAAGGTGCAATATTAAGAAACTGGCTTTTTGTTAATATAATGGCTTTCTTCATTAAACTAATATGTGTTAGTTCCTGCTGTAGATGTTTCAACGTAATTATACCATGGCATTATTGTCTCTACATTTTTAACTTAATTTAGGGCTTTTTTCATATACCTTATTTTTTCATAGAATTCATTTTTAAATCATTAAAATATATTAAAGGATGCATGTCCACAAATTGAGTTTGACATTTAAAGTTTTATCATTTTAAATTATTTTATAAAACATGCTGCCTAAAATTAAAAAAATTATCTTATAAGGAAACACATGAATTCTAACATTTTTAATGAACACTAAAATGCTGGTAATTTCTAAAGATAATAAGGATTTTCTCTTCTACTTAGAGATTACAGAAGAGAAAGGAAATAAATATTTAGAACTAAAATGAAAATTTAGATTTTCTATCTTTAATAAGAATGACGACGTGTTTTAGAAATCCACTTTAAAGCAAAAGGTAAAATAACATGTCTGAACTAATGCCAAATAACAATACATTTAGTATATTACAGTTCCTAACGTTTTCCCCACATTGGCTACATTATTTATATGCATTATGCCAATTACTTCCTCACACAATTACAGGAAATAGGTTAGCCTTAATATCTCCTTTTTGCGGATGTGGAGTTCTCATAGAAATCTGTGGATTTGCATTTAAATCAATTCATTCCTTTTTATCATGGAAAGATATACATAAAATGTAATGAACTATTTTAAACATTGTAAGTCTACTGTTCAGTGACATTAAGCACATTGGCATTGACATGCACCTGTCATCAATATCCATCTCCAGAACTTTTCAACATCCCCAACTGAAACTCTGTACCCATTGAACAACTCCCCATTCTCCTCTGCCTCCAGCCCCTAATAACTTTAATTACTAATTCTAATTGCAAACTAAGTGTTTGACCATTCCAAGAATTACAATGTTCACCCTTTCTTTGTTCAGCTTTAACTGAGTATAATATTTACAAGGCTCAGACATATTGTACACAGATCAGTCTCCTTCCCTTTCAGGGCTAATTATATTCTGTTACATATGCATACATTTTATTCACCCATCCATTCATCATAGAATTTTTATGTTATCTCCCCTTTGGTGTTATTGCAAATAATGTTGCTATGAGTATTGATATACAAATATCTGTTCAGGTTTTTGCTTTTAATTCTCTTAAATATATACCTGTAGGTGGAATTGCTGGATCATATGGTAACTCCACATTTAAGTTTTGGAAGTGTGATTGTATGGTCTTCTACAGTAGCTGTACTACTTTACATTTCTACCAGTAATACACAAGTGGCTTCAATTTCTCCACATCTTTGCCAGCATTTGTCATGTTTTTCTTTTGTCCCTCCCCCACTTTTTAAAAAATTTGTAACCATGCTAATGTGAGTGAAATGACATCTCATTGTGGTTATAATTTATATTTCCATAATCATTAGAGATGTTGGATATAATTCATTTATTCATTTGTATAGATTCCTTGGAAAAATATCTACTCACTTTGTCCCATTTTTTTTTAAATTGAGTTGTTTTTTATTGAATCATAGAATCTGGATACTAATCTCAGGTCAGGGAAATGATTTACAAATTGTTTTTCCTATTTTGTGTATTGTCTTCTAGTTAGTGTCCTGTGATGCACAAAAGCTTTTAATTTTGATAAAGTACAATTATTCTATTTTTTCTTTTCTTACTTCAGTAAGATTTGAATTTAGGAAGAGGAAGCCCTCCAACTTCATTCGTTTTCAATATTGCTTTAGCAATTCAGGGGCCCTTGAGATTCCATACAAATATTCTTAGTTTTTTTTTTCTGCAAAAAGCATCTTGGTATTTTGATAAGGATCATATCGACTGTAGATTGCTTTGCATAATATTGACATCTTAATATTAGTATTCAATATATTAGCACATAATGCATTTCCACTTATTGGTGTCCTCTTTATTTTAGCATCATTTTGTTTTTCAATACTTATGTAAATGCATAAATACATGCTCCCCATTGGATATTTGCTATTCTTTCTTTACAATACAGGAAAATACTATACAGGAGGAACATATTGAAAAGAAAGTACAAAAATATTTTTAAGAATTATTATGTTATATCACATTAGAAGAATTAACGAGTGTCTTAGCTTGTCATTTTCCTAATTAGTGTGATCTAAAGTTACTCTTCCTGAGCTTCAAAACCATCTATAAAATTCATGCTTTATTTGCCTCTAGATTGGGATTCTTTTAATATCTTGGCAAGAATTTAGGAAACATTTTTAACGTGTGATGATTTTTCATGTAAGGTTTCAACCATCACCTGTTTGCTATTTTCTCCTCTTTCTCTGTTTCTGGATCTAATTCATATTTGCTTTCAGGTGTCCATGATTCCTGCTGTGCTGTGAGCTCCTTGGAGGTAAAACTAGGCTGGAGCATTGCTCCTTTGGGCTCCATTCTGACTGGCTATGAAGACACCTGGATGGAAAATCTAAGGCTCTGCAGAAGTTAGTTTGAAGATTTCTAATTTGTATTTTTCAATAACAAAAGAACGATGTGAAATAGGAATCCTTTATGATCATATGAAGGAGCAGGATTAGAATCCAAGTCTTCCATTTTATGCTTTGTAAATGCTCCTTTATTGCATTAGGCAGAACTAGTTGGGGAAACCCCAGCCATATGTTCTAGATTGAAAGCTTTGTGAAAGTCCTGTGAGGGCAGGGATAGTCACCTTCCACACAATTGTACCTCCTGTACGCTGCCCAGCACCTTTAAAAATATAACTTAACATTACATGCATTCCATGAAAAGAAAAAAAAACATTCTGAAGTAAGAGTAAGAAATACATCAAAGTAAGCAGAGAAACTAAACAATTACTGTGGCACATTAGCACCTTAATTTATTAAATTGAGATGACACAAGGTTAAATTTGAATATAATAGAAGTGAACAACTTCATTAATTTTTGCGAATGAGATTGATACACAGCTTCACCAAAACATGGGTGATGATTCCTGAGGAGTTTAGGGAACATTTTACATGCCTGACATCATACTCTATGTTTCCAAAACATATTTTGTTAAACTATAAACTATAAGTCAATGGAATATTCTAATGTGATCAGAATCATATCATTATCTTTATACCTGCTTTACATTTTAAAAATAGAATATTGGGCAAGATATCATTATATTGTACATTTTAAAATTACATAATTTGAATGTTAACAAAAATATACATCTCTAGTCTTTGCTTGGTAATATTATATGCATATTTCAGTTTGCATAAATGTAACTGCCAATTTGCACCCGTAAATCAATTAGTATAAATTAGTATCAATTAGTGCTCTGAATTAATGATCGTGTTTGTATTCATGTAAAGTTTTCATTCTTCTTACTGTTTTTGTTTTTTAGGTACCAGGGATTGAACTCAGGGGCACTTGACCACTGAGCCACATCCCCAGCTCTATTTTGTATTTTATTTAGAGACACGGTCTCACTGAGTTGCTTAGTGTTGCTTATGCTGAGGCTGGCTTTGAACAGGTGATTCTCCTGCCTCAGACTCCCAAGCTGCTGGAATTCCATGTGTCACTGTGCTGAGTCCTACTTTGTACATATTCAAAATTTAACTCGATTTACACATTTTCAGTTAGATATTATTGTTAGCACTCTGTGTGGAAGCACAGAAGTTCTCTGTTTTGAATCAGGGTGATTTTTTTTTTCAGACCTCTAATAGTTTCTTTAGAATATATAATCATTTGTGCCATCTATGTTCCTCAGGTATTTGAAATAATTTGTAGTGATTTTATTGGTGAATGTAGCATTTTATATAGGTCAATCAGAACACTATTCTTACGTGGGTGGATCACATTTTCTATAGTCTTTTAATCTTTATCATCCATAATTTTTTTCCCTTTTATTTTACTTTTCAGTTTGATAGATTTTTAAAATATTTATTAGTTTTCTAACCATCTTTATTTTTCTTTTAAATTCATTCATTTATTTTTTGCTGTGCTGGGGACTGAACCCAGGGCCTCATGCATGCTAGGCAACTTCTCTACTTCTAAGCTGCTTCCCCAACCCATAGTTCTACATATGTCTCATGTTCAAGTTTTAAATCTTACTTTTTGTTACATGAAGATTTAAAAAACACGGTATTTTCTTTATGAATGACTCATTTATTATAAATATATTCTTCTTTTTGTCTCTGTGAAGATCTATTTTCTGCCTTAAAATCTATTTTGTTTATTAGTATAGAGACACAGCTTTTCCAATGGTTAGAGTTTCTACAGTCTCTTTCTATTCATTGTCAAATGTTCTAAGTCCTTATATTGACACTGTGCCTCTTACAGATAGCATGTGTTGCTTCCTCCCCTGGTCTATGGCTTTCATTTGGAGTACTTAGGTAGCACCAAGTCATGGCTGCCTCCCACATTTTCATCTCTCATGTTGTCATACTCTAGGTTTCTCTCACCACAGGGTCTTTGTGTTTCAATCACAGCCACACTAGCAAGTTTCCCTTTGCTTTTCAGAATTCTTTCAACTTAGCTCTTTAGCTTCACACCCCACACAGCATTAGAGCTTAGCACAAGTCTTAAAAGGAAAACTGCCTCTTTGTTTAAAGGCCACAGTTCTGAAACTTTGTACTTCTAGCCCCTTGCAATCACCAGAAGTTCTAGGTATCAATTTTCTGCCTTGACCAAATCTAAACGTACAGTGTATAGCAAATGCTCAGGACTGATGACTCTCCTCCTGGAAAAAAAGCTGCTGAAGAATCTTACCTCATTCATGAGGACTCTGCCGTGTCTCCAATGTTCTTGTTTTTTGTGTCTCCAATGTTCTTGTTTTTTGTTTGTTTGTTTGTTTGTTTTTTGATTCTTAGAAAATACAGAATGATGTTTTTGTGGATTTTTCTGCAAAAATCATCATTACTGGCAATAATAGTGTTAGCTTGCTAGGATTTCTTTCACCTACCTAAACAGGGTAAATATTGTTTTTAAGTGTGAGTCAAGCATATCTGCATATTAATAACAATGATCCTGTATAGATGGGAGAATGCATGAGATAGGCCTCACCATAGCCATATGTGTATTCTTGAGTTAAGTGAGAAGGGATTACAGCTAGTATCCAAGTGGAGCAATTGGCCCTAGGTAAAGAAGTGAGATTTTATTTATGGAAAAGGAGAAAACTCAAAGAATATAGACTTCAGTATAGGTGGGATGATAAATGAAGTGGTGGGAACTTTCAAAAGTATTCTGCTTATTTTTGTTTTTGTTCTTATCAGCAAATGAAAATAAGGTTATTAGTTGACAGTAGTGACAAGGAGAAGATATGAAGTAATGCTCTAAATGAGTGACAAAGAAGTATGTTTGTAAATTGTTAGCTCACTTGGGATGACTAATTATGAAGTCAAATGCATTATGATGGATGTGCTTACTTATAAAACAAGTTTAGCTACTTTGAGCGGGAACAGGGTAAACAGGTATACATTTTACTAGGGTAAGTGTTTTGCCAGAAGAATATGCTGAAAGTAGAAATGAACAAATGAATTGAGGATATAAAGAAGGGAAATAGTTAAATGATTTTTAAAATTGAAAATAACAAGGATGAAATAAGGGACATGAAATAATGATAAATAATGATAGGAAGATAGTAATGGAAATTGAATCTAGTAGTGTGAAAGAATTCCTGGAGCCAGTGAACTAGAGGAATTGAACTATAAAGCAGAATGCTTTATCGTAGAGTGGATGATTGAAACTGAGGTTATAGCAACGGTAAATTTATTATTAATGGTATATTTTGGGGTATGATGTGATTGATAATTGAAATATGAAGCAAATATGAAGAGAGGAAAACAAATAATTGAGAGGCCCAATTATTGGAAAACATCAATAAACAAAAGATGTGACATGAAAGAGTAGTCTACATGCTACAACCTTAAGGAGAGTTGCAAAGGAGAGATGACTGTGGTCAATAGAATTTGATGCCATGCATTTAGGAGATGGTGATTGTAAGCACCTATCTTTTAATGCCTCTCACTGAAATTTCATGAGTTTCATATTCATGAATTTATTCAGTAAATATTTAGCAGGAGCTTACCCATTACACTGTGTCAGCTGCAGAATGAGAATCTCTGGCTGTGGAGCATCTGCTGTCACTATTGAAACTGATATTGTTCTTTCTATTGTGTAAGGCATATTCCATTCAGTACCTGTGAGAATTATATCTGGGTGACTCCCAAGCTGTGGAGAGAGTTGACATCCTGGGACTGCTACTCCTGGTAACAGCATTCAGTAATTTGCTATCCTCCATGAAGTGGGACTCGCTCCCTCAAGTCCTCCCCACCCATTTCCAGAGGTGGTACCAGCTGTGTCACTTGTTCAACAATTTGGAACACAGAATCTGGCCCCTGCCTTCTCCTTCCTATTGTGTGTGCTAGCACCGTTCTGGCTTTGTGAAACTCAATTGGCCACACTCCTGTCAATCAATGTGATACCATCTTGTTGCTCATTCTGCATGGAATTCTCTTCCACCAGATCTTGACAAGCCCGAATAACATGTGGACTCTTCATATGCCATCTTTCCAAGGAGGCCTCTTTGAACCACTAGTCCTCAAGTAGCCACCACCAGTCATCATTGTTGGTTTTATACAATTAATGCTTCTTTATGGGAAACATGTGCGTGGGCAGTTCCCTCCTTGTGTGAACATCAAGATTGTATGATACAAAGTAGGACAGCTATGATGTCACTACGCAATACAATGTTATTGGGTAGGTGGTCCGTAATTCAACAAAATGTTGTTATTTAGCACATGATTATACTTGGCTTCATTTTCTTCATAACTTCAGATTTCTTCACAGTTTTATACTATATGGAATTCAATACAATATAATATAAAATTATATTGACTATTTATTCAGGTATTGTTTGTTGTGTCTTTCACACAGAAATGAATTTTTTCAGGAAGGCAAGACTTTATCTTGATCACCATTCAATCTCATTTATCATAATAGTACATGGCACTATTTAGGGTGTGAATGGATATGGTAAAAGAAAAAGGAAAGAAGGAAGAAGGAAGGCAACAAAAAGATGGAATCTTGGGAATGTTTGTTGCCTTTAAACTTGAATACGAATTACTCTGTATAACTTAGTGCAATTCTTTCTCTTGATGTGTATTAACACTGAAAGTTACTCTGGAAAATAAGTTTGACTTTTTTCCCTGCTGTGTGACTTGTTTTATTTTATGAAGCAGATGTGTCTTCATATTAAATTTTATTGTAGTGTCCTCTATTATATTATTTTCCTAGAAAAAAACTTATCCTTTATTCTGCAGAGAAAGTTCTTTATGAAGAGAATTTTTGTCTTGCTAATCTGTTTGACAATAAATTTTTTGTTGCATGCATTAGATTCTCCACTGTAGGAATAAATATTTTCTGTTTATGGTAGCTAGATTTCTGCTTTTCCTGTCTAATAGAATCTTTGTCTGCTGCTTCTATTTATCTATTTATCTCTTGCATTTTTATCATGCTTATAGGTCACTTCTCAGCTGGGTTGAAAACTCTTCCATTCTCATTGACTCTAATATATTTATTGGATCTTTGGTGAAGTAAATTGTTTTCCAACAGGGTACCCTAGCTCAGGAATATTCCTTGAACTAGTAATTTCTGATTTTTATCAATTTACTTCACTAGCTCTTATTTACATGATTTTGTGATTTTTATTTCACCAATAAAAATTAAGGTCTTCTCTACTGTGAAATCCATATGGGGAATTGTGGATGTCAGTTAGAAGAATTTTGTTCTTCTGAACTGGGTATATTGAATTTTGTGGGTTCTCTTATCCCTCATCATTTTTGGAACTAGTTTTATTATTTTATCCACGCCAGCAGCCACCACAAGATCTTTTACTTTGTCCAATACCTTCTGAAACTTGTATTAGAGGAATGTGTATATTCATATCCTCACTGTTTTCTTTCACTTATTCTTTTATCTTTTTTTTTATCTCGCATGCGCTGTCTTTAAGAAATTTCCTTATCTTGCTCTAATACCAGTCTGTTATTTAGCTTATCTTATTGTGTAATTTAATTTTTGAAACCTTTGTTTTTTAAACATTTATTTTTTAGTTGTAGTTGGACACAAAACCTTTATTTTATTTATTTTTATGTGGTACTGAGGTTCGAACCCAGGGTCTCACATATGCTAGACAAGCGCTCTACTTCTGAGCCACAACCCCAGCCCCAAACCTTTGTTTTTATTTGCCCAAATCTTCTATATTTTCCCATTGATTTCTGTTCATTACTGTACCTCATTCTATACTCGATGTGATTCATCCCCTGTCCGCACTAGCATTTTGAATAGACTTGTGTGAATGGTCAGCTATTGTCTCTATTTCTTCCACAATGATTCTCTCCATTTGCCAGATCTACCCACTCTCATGACATTGGCCTCTGACTGGTGTTTTGTGATGCTTTTGCACCTAGGGGGAAACATTGTATGTCTTTTGGCCTCATGCCTGGTACACTTGCAGCCACTTTCAATCCAGTCTTTAGTTGCAGAAACCTGTAGTAAGGGTTTTGCCTTCTCATCTGCTTCACTTTTAATGAGCCACCATCCTTTAAATTTATTTAATTGTATTGTTAAAGGTTATATTTCTTGCTATTTAAATTTTTTTTATTGTTGGTCGTTCAAAACATTACACAGTTCTTAATACATCATCTTTCACAGTTTGATTCAAGTGGTTTACTTTCTCCTTTTTTCCCTTTTTTGTCTCTTTGTTTATATGGATTTCAATTTAGTGGTTTCTTTTCATCACATTAAGCACTTCTGGCAAGCATGCATGCACACACACAAGTGAGAGGATATTTCTTTATTTTCTCATTTATCTTCTCTTTTTACCACTCTGTGTTAATATAATCTAAAGATTGAATGGCCAGTTTTAAATCATATATTCATTCTTAAAAACATTTAATGTGCTCAATTTTCATAAGTAGATTTACAATTATATCTGTATCTGTATCCATCTATCTGTTATGCTTATTTGATTTGAGTGGTGTAAGTCAGATATTATATGCTAGAATTTTTATATTTTTAGGTTCCTAATTTTGTTCATTATTTTTTCCAGTTTTCTATTCATCAAAAAAATGAACTTTTTTCTTAAAAAAGATTATTCTTACTTCAACTCTCCATAAAATGAAAATAGGTATTATGTTTACTCAAGAGTGGCAAGTTTTTCTTCTAAAACTTTGCATAAACTTCTTCGGTATCTTTCAACATTTAAAGAAGTCCTTATCCTTTTCCATGGATTTTCTTTGCCTATGGAAAATTTTACAATTTTAAATGTTTGACTATTATTTCTATTACATTTGCTCTGTACTTTTGTTCACAAATATATCATCATTTTCTGTTGTACTTATTTAAAATTAAATTTGATTTCTTAATTATTATCTGTTTGTTGTTGCTGTTCAATGTTACTCTCTTGGAAAATTTATCAGAAAAAATTTCTCTAAATTGTCCACTTAGTTTATAAATCACTAACTAGGCTCTGTGTTGGAAACAAAGTAGATTAAAGAATAGAATTAGAATTTCCTAACATAAGCAACTGGAAGATACCTAAGTACTAAGTTCAAATGATCTGCTAAAATGCAGGAATACTTTAAAAAATTACTAAAATTTAAATTTTGGAAAATATAATAGTGTTTTTACTTGAAAAATCAAATAAAAGTTGTGGCATCCTTTCAAAATGGCATCAAAATAATTTAGAGAAAAGTGAAGAGAACGTTGAATGTATGGAGTAATAGTATGATTATGTGGTATTTATAAGACAAATCCTTCTTGGAATACACTGCAAAGTACTATTATCCACATTCTGGAGATGAAATGACAAATCTGAATGAAGTCCACAAGAGAAAAACAGGATAAAAAGAAAAGAATTGCAGTGTCATTGCGGCTTCTATTGAGATTTCAAAGGAGAAATTGGAAAGCCAGGCAGTGTATTGTAGGATAAAAATCCCCAAACAGGGTGATGCATGAAGTTGTAACAGTGAAGCTGAAGATTCAATGGATACTCCAGGAAGTTTGAGATGACAGGAAAATTGAACATTTAAACAAAAAAAGCTTCCGACAGCCAGCAGAGCCAGCCCAAGAGAATGATCATTTGGGCCATAAGGGAAGAGCTACCCAAGCCATGGCGGCCTCATACCGTGCCAGCATGCGCCCTGGGTGACAGACAGGTAGCTGCAGGCTTTAATGTACCTTTTTGGGTTTTCATCTTGCTTTGGTCAGATAATTCTTCGATGTCCCATTGCATGTTGGAATATAGC